CCATCGTTTCAAATTTTACTGAGAAATGGTGGATATGTTGGCTAATATACGCGACGTTGGGCCAACCTTGGCTTAACGTTGGTCTATATCATGGGTGTCGAATCTTACGTAATACCTATTGTTCAGGGGGGGATGAATGAATAGATCATCCCCCCCCCCCCTGATGAATAGGTATCAATGACAGATCGACACCCATGGTCTATATCGTCTCCATCTTTACTGATAAATAGTGCATGTATATATTGGTTGGCTATATGACGTTGGGCCAACGTAGCAAATACGACCTAGTACCGCTACATCCGGGTAAAAAAAATTGCATGCGTGCGCATGCCCATGTGCTCATGCAATTGCAACGTACGTCAGCCATATCCTGTCCATTTGTCTGGACCAGTTGCCGGGGAGTACCAACACTGCATGGTAAATGAATGATTTTCTTTCTCTTTCAACGTTATTTTTGTGAGCATGTCGCGTGAAACTGATAAATTGTATAGTGTGAGAACTCCCCGTCACAAAGCGAGGGAAATAGCATGAGAAATTGTTAAAGTAATCATTGATAATTCCCTGTCCAAATGAAAGTGTAAGTCAGTACGAGTGTACCGCTCTGCGTACGTACGCTTAGCATGCACACCCGCTGCGTGCAATTGAAGTGTGAGTGATGGCTATGATGGCTATGATGGGGGCCGAAGTGTCGGCATCAGATGCATTGAGTGTTTGCCGTGATAAATGTTAATATGTTCCTGACTTAGAGTTAGACCTAGGTGATGTATTGATGCGTCATATGTTGCAGCGTCCGTGACAGTGATGATGTTCATCCTAATATGCAATATCGACCATGAATCAATGATTGTGAATCTGTTGGTGTTACAAGTGTTGAAGGTGCTGATGCATTGTTGGAAAGACCAATTGAATCAAATAGAGCTGAATGGGAAGACGCATCATTTTTTATGCATATCTAAATGATATTATAGTCTCTGATACTTTCAGATTTAGAAGTAGGTCTATACTATACTCTGTAGTAGCTCCATATATGCTGATGATGATTCAGTTCGAAAAGGAATAAATTACGAGATTGGGCTGTGAATTAAAATATCCCGCTAGTGCATGTTTCTAGCCTCCTGAAATCTTACAAGGGAGTGTGCCAAGTCTGCCAAAATATGCAAGAACTTTGTATCAACACATTTAGTGGATTGTGAGTGTGATGTGAAAGAGGTAGCTGGTGGGAATTACCCTCATTTTGGCATTTGCAATCATTTAAAGTCGCAATTGGCCAAGAACCTCAATTTGATCAAATAGTAAATAGGAAAAACTATTGGGGGCGGGGGTTACACTGATCGATCCCATAATTTTCATTCACAATTTTCATTCACAAATTTGATTATTGCTGCATTTTTATTCTCATTTTCAAATTAGTTTTTATTGTTTATGCACATGTATATTAAATTGCTATAATTTGAACTGAAGGTAAATATTCTAATTATTTATTTTTAAAATTCTGACGTTCTTTATTAATACATTCAATTCTATATAGCTCTTCCAAATCCCAATACTTTTTTCTCCCATAATCCCTACAATTCTGAAATTTAAATATTAAATCCTGCATTTCATATCGTCAACTTCACAACAAATTCCAGATTCCTCTACCCGTTCAGATCCAGCTACCCCTACCTCGATCATCCAGAACAGCATCAACGTCACCAAGGACCCCTTCGACATCGACCCCATCAACCTCCAGAACACTGTCGACCCCAACGACCCCATTGACCTCAACATTCAGAAATATGGGTATGTCATTTGGCATTTTATTCATTTTGTATTTAGTTATACATGTAGACAGGATACCACTTCTTAGTATTCGTTATAGTTGTGCCCTGCACACAAAGTACAAATGTACTGGATTTATGTACGTTTGTGTAGGACATAGCTGCTAACGGATGCTAGTATCTTTTTCCTGATTATATTGAGAAACTGCATTGTGATCACTTACAAAACTATTCAACAACAACAAATCATGAAATACTGCTTATAGCAGTATTTTTTTGGAAACAATTCTGAATGCAGGGTGCCACAAAAAACAAAACACAGTCATTTGATTTGTTTCTTGTATAAGCAACTAACGATATAGCTTTGTGTTTTTGTTTCTACTTTGAAGCCCCTCGAGCTCTCCCAAGTATTGGGAGCTTACATAAATACAAAAAAAAAAGTATTGGGAGCTTCACATTTCACTTCAATGTTATAATGATGTGAAAGAAAATGCCACTCTTCTTCAAACATTTGTCCTAAAAATTAGAAAGAATACAAACTTGCTAACTAAGGGTTTTGTGTTGTATGCAGAAAACGCAAATTTTGTATTCTTTCATCCATATTCTACTTCAAACACATTTGTTAGGGCAATATTCTATTTGCAGAAGTGTCCGGTGTTAATGACATCCTCTTTTACATCATACCATTTAAGTGAGATTGTGCCATCTATTCTTTGGCTAATTTTGGGATCCAACACTTA